TATCCAGTGTTCCAAACTGGTAGTGGCCCCAAGTAAAGATGGTGATGGAGGTGACCCAAGATGGAGGCAGCTGCTTTCAGTGATAGGGGGTCGGGTCAGGTGGGGGGAGCCAGGCAATGGCATTGTGCAAGGCATTCAGAGATGATCTCTGTGGAGTGCAGAGCTTTCTTCAGAGCCTGTGATGTCCCCAGGTGCAGGCAGACTACCAGAAGTAGGGGACCATGGTGGTAGCTGCCGAGTCCCAAGACGGAGGTGACCATGGAGCCCCATGTTAGTAGATGGGGGTCCACACAGGAGTGGCGGCCGGTGTTCCTGCACATAGGAGCTGAGTGTCCTGCGTGGGAGTGGCATCTGGGAATTCTGTGCAGGGGCTGATGCCGTTAGTCCCCCTAAGGCACCCAGGAGACCTGTGTGGGAGAGTAGCTGGGAGTCCTACTCTAATGCCAAGGCCTGGGTCCCCGCAGGGCACGGTGGCTCTGATTCCTGCAAGGGATCAGCTGCAGAGGAGTCCTCTATCACTCTCAGCAAAGCAGTATTCCCACTAGTTGAGACCCGGGTCTCAGAGCAACACTGAATGCTGCCTCCCTCTGGCCCCCATCTTGGATCCAAACTGAAGTTTTTTTTTCTGTACAACTTCTCTTGGTTTTAAAAAGGGCCCTTCTCTCCCACCCTTCATTCAACTGCATCTTTCCAGAGCCCCATTGTGCGCAGGGCCTCGTGTGAAGGAGGAATTGAAGGGGTGCAAAGATAAGCATGTCCCTTGCCCTGAAAAGCACTTGCAAGCTGCTAAGGATAAAGCCACCAGGTAATGAGCTGGCATATGAAGTCCAGTGCCATTCTACCCCATGTTCCCACAGCTCCTTCCCCACATGGCTTTGTCCTTAGCTTTGAGCTTTGTCTCCTCTTACAAGGGGCAACAAACTCAAAGGCTTTCTTGAGCCAGGTAGACTGAGGTAGAACTGGGCAACAATAGGGGGTGGAGTAAACTGGGGAGCTGCCCTGCCTGAAGGTATTCAAATGTAGTTAAACACATGCAAGCACAGTCAGCCCCTGCACCCAAAATCAATCCATCTGTGAGCCCAACGGGTGGCCTGGTTCTGCCTCCTGAGTGACCAGTCCAACCCACCCTCTCCCTCCACTGTCCAGCATGGCCTCCTGACCCCACGGGCATTTGGGATGGGATCTGTGGGTTGTTCCTTTGCAACGTTTCCCAGAGAATCACGCAGCCCGCTTTCTGAAGAAGAGCTCGTGTGGTCATCCTTAGATCATGGTTCATGGTTAGCTCAGCGCCTGGTTCCCTCACTGTCTCAGTAATTTTTCCAAGGTGTTCCTAGACCAGAAGATAGACCTAAGAAGTCCGATTTGCTAAGTCGATCCATCCAAACCGTTCATGAATGTTTATTTCTTAACATCTTAGTGCCTGCTGGGCACTGATCAGACACCACCACCACCTACCTTTCCTTTCCCACCCTGATTTTTATTCTGTTCCGTTTTTGCTTTCTGCCCCAGCACCTGAGGAAAACCCGGTTTCTCAAAGACACCAGGTCATCGAAAGGATGAAACTGTGATCTAATGTCAAAGCCATGAATACCTTGCGCTAGTAGTTTCACTACTAGTGACAAGTGACAGGTATGACTGTGCTTTCCTCAAAAACTAGAACAGTTCCCTATGAATTCACAGTGGTGCCCTGAGGCACCGTTAGCACACCGTTTGAGAACCATGATATTCCTCAATAAGTGGTAACAATGATGATGCAATAATTGGCGTTTATCCCTCCGTTTCAGTTTGAAATGAGCTTTGACTCTTTACTAATAACCAATGTCTCTCTCTCTTTCTCTTTCTCTCTCTCCATCTCTAAGTTCTGGCCCAAGAGGTGACAAGTAAGTTTATTAACATACTATTTAAAGAAATAAACATCCAAAGGGGACCAAAACTGACTCGTATAATTTTTTTTAACAAATTCAGCAGATGAATTAATAACAAAACAATAACTCCTAGAATTTGCAAAGTCATCAGCCTGAGACCCTTTCCTGCACAAAGCACTACTTATAGGTCCTCAGAAACCTCGCTGAGACCTCTTTAAGGAAGAGGCAATAAAACCAGTCCCTGAACTAACATTCCCCTGTCCTCCTGCTCTTTGCCAAAAGCAGAAAAATAAACTAACACTAGAAACTACTGAATTTGGTCAGTTAGGGATGCTGGACAGACTCAGGCTGTCTTCCCAGGTACTTGTCCTAAAGACATCCAAAACAAAGGAGGCACATCCAAGTTCAAAAATTCCACAAATAATGAGGAAAGGAGTCATATGGGTGGGACTTTTTTTTTTTCTCATTGGAAAGTCCAGCTTGACTTTGCTGCTCTTTCCTATGCACAGGTGACCAACATCCATGATTAACTTGGCTGAGAAGGGAATAAGAAAGGGGGGGAGGGGCAGATCCTTTCCTATTGACTGTTTAAATAAATCTATTTTCCTTTGTAGATAAAGTCGAAATCACAGGTAACCAAAGAGAAGAAGGTGAAATCAAAATGTCATTACTCAGAAATCACCATCGACTTCCACACCCTTCTCTGCCCGTGTGTGTATTTAACTTTCTTGTTTTTCTGTTTTATTCCAACCAAAAAGGAAATCATATTGTTCTGTGGCATTTTTATTTTTCCCTTAGAAGACATACTGCGAATAGATCTTCATTCCAAGAAACACATCATAATCAAAATACCCTTTAAGAGTGACATATTATCCCATGAATGAATGTGATATAACTCAGCTTTCAAATCCTCCAGCATTGAACTTCGAAGTTGTTTTCAGATGATTGCTAATATAAAGGAGGATGAGATAAACATCCTCATAGCTAAACACTTTGAGCATACATCTTTATATTCATAGAAGTTCTTTGAATTGGAATGCATGGGTCATCGAGCACACACATTTTTAAAAGTTTTGGATAACATACTATCGAACTATTTATCCACATTCAAAAGTGATTTTTTTTTCAATTTAAAACTCTGCATACTGGCAATGTATAAAATCCACTTCTCCAAGAGTCTTCCTCCATAGTTTATGTTTTTCCATGCCAAAACAACTCCGAAATACCATAAATGAGTGGGTGTGTGCGGAGCTAGCACTATTTCCTTGCTTGTATTTAGAAACTAAACTATCCCTCCGAGTTTCTCATTAACTGAATTTTATGAAGACTTCCTGCCAACAAACAGGCAAGGGTCATTTATATTCCAGGCAGGGGAAAGCGTCTATGAGCAAGCTCCATCATGAACTAACGTCTACGCAAAGCCTTGTAAAATAAACATCTGGAGAAAGAGTACAAGGTTGGAGATGGAGAACCAAGAGCAGGCTCGTCAGAATCACAGACACACGCTGGAGGACAGACAGTGCCAAGAGCTCAGCACATACAGGCTGGGCATTGGGGGGCGAGGGGACCCCATCATCAGGCACATTATTGGTTATGGAAATACCAAAGCTGAAGGGCTAAGGTGTGGCTTTGTCAACACTTTAAGTCAGCCTGAGGCACTGCAGATTCTGCTGTTGTTATATATAAATAGTCATATGTCAACATCTCCCAAGAGGGCTAGAGGAGACAGAACACAGGGCTTCAACCCACAGCCCCCACCCCCCAACACCCAGGGAGACCAATGGCTCCCTTGCTCATGAGCTACGTGCCGGGAAGCAATGTTGGAACTCCTCTGAGACTTATTCTCTTCATCTGTAAAATGGGTTCAGGAATACTACCCCTCTTGGCTGTGGGCATTCAGCAAGATGATGCGTGGGGATCGTTGCATGACAGTAAGTGGGATGTTGTAGCGGCACTTGGCGTGTGGATAGAAGGTGAACAGAACAAGGGAATTAACTGGACGCGTTCAGTTTTCATAGGAAATAAACTGAGAGTGGAAACAAGGTCCAGAATTCAGCATCACCTCTCCCAAAAAGGGCCCCACCGTTAACAATGGAAGCCCTGGAGCCACAGGCAGACCAGGGCCAACTGGCCCTTAGGGATGTTCTGAACACTCCATGGGAGTCCGCCAGCCACAGCAAAAATCCCACGAGACCAGGGGATGGGTTCCCATTTGCAAGCCATGAGAGCTGGAGGGGAGCCTGTGGGAGAGATTGCATGCAGGAGACTTGACAGGAGATTTCTGCCTCTCTAGTCCCTGGTCAGCACCATGGAAAAGCTGAGTATCTTTAAAATGGGATTAACAAGAGCACTCCACTCTCCGTGTTGCTGAGAACATGAAATGAGATAAGGGGTTGGGGAGGTGTGCCTGGCACGGGACCTGATGCCAATTAGGTATTTGTGTATTCATATTATTCGTGTTGTTTGTTATTAAAAACAGATTACAAAATAATACTTATAGTAGGACCCTATGTTTACTGTTCTAAATCGTATGTAAATGAATGGTAGAAAAATATCCGGCAGGATAAGTTTCCCAAATGTAAACAAGGGTGATCTCTGGCTGGTGGAATTTCAGTGATTTGTAGTTTATATACTAGATAGCTTAGGTCTTTTTTTTTTTAACATTGTATATTTTTATATTTTCACATTCTATATTTTATAAACAGAATGAAAGCAAGAAAAGAAAGAAAGGAGGAAGGGGAAAGAAAAGAATAGAAAAACCATCCATTCGATATACACACTGAGAGTGCTAATAAAATCAATGAGGATATAGGCAGCAATTTCAAATGCTGGTCACAGACTTTATGCAACATGGGAAAATGCTTATAATATGTTGTAAATGGAAAGCCAGGATACAAAATATTTTATGTTTCATCATTTCAGCTGTATAAAAAAATGCATAGAAAAAGGATTTAAGGAAAAGATTTCAACATATGAACAGTGATTATCTCTGAATGCTAGGATTCTGGGTTGATCATTATTTTCTTAATACTGTTTTCTATTTTCTGAATTCTGTGCAAGGGACCTAAATTACTTTGACAATTACAAAATAAGCAAAACTGAACATATTAATAAAGAATAAAGAACTTCTCTTACTTGCTTGATGAAAACCAGCAGCACCAGGGTGAGGAAGGGCCTCCCAGGGGCCCAGAGCAAGTGCTTTCCATGGGAAAGGAGGGAGCCGGTGCCCCCCGCAGCAGAGATGCTCATAGGCAGGACTCGGACCCCAGGCAAGGACCCCGGGCTGCCTCTCCCCGGCCCTGCCCGGCTCAGCTGGGGCCTCATCCTCCTGGCACCCTTTCACAAGTGCGGACACATCCCTCCAACAGTCCAAGATGTACCACAGGCAGCCTCCTCCTGCAATTCCTCCTTGTCCAGAGAGGAAGTGTTTGCACAAATCCTCTACACGCCGGCCGCTGCGTGCGGAGAGTGTCTGAACGGATCCAGAGTGATCTACCGAATCTCCAAGTTCCTCATCCCCCTCCAGCGCCCCCCCCAAAGGCAGGGAGACTTTTCCCAGACCTTCCCCAAGTTGGCTGTGCTCCGGGCAACTTCCTCAGCAGGCCCAGAAGAAACAGCAAGCGCTCTCTGGACTCCACCCCGAGGCTTCTGCTCCATGCACAGGGCCAGGAAGAGACAGGCTGGGGTTCAAGTGGCCAAGGAGCCAGCTGGTGAGACAGGGCGACCTCCAGACACCTGGGACACTGGTGTCTTTGTCAGGGAAGTGGGACTTGCTTGATCAACTCAGAAGCAGGGCCATCTCTGGCTCCTGATTATGCCAGGAGAACAGGCAAGACAGTGACCCAGGCCAAAATACATCATCTCCTGACCCAGGGACTGAAGCAAAAAAAAAAAAAAAATCAGTGACTCAGGTTGTCGACACAATAGCAAAGCATTGCGTGGAACAATCCAAACTTCACTCCTCTTGAATGCCCACTTGTTCTGAACATAACATTTTGTTCTTCTGAACATAATGTCGCTCAGCCCACCTAGCAGATCCTTTTATGGAATGCGTGCTCATCACTTACTAACCAACACGTCTGTACCTTCTCACCCCAATTCACGTTTGCACTCTTTTTATCCCCTATACTACTTCATTCATCCTCACAAGAATTACCTATAGGTACAAGGTTCAGAGAGGTTAGAGTGCCTTCCCAAGGCCACACAGCAAGTAAAAGGCAGAATCATGTCTTCTGATCATAGTCACCTGACCACAGCTACTCGGGAAGGTATCATTCCCCACCCCCACCTTCTCAGGGTGATCCCTTATTCTCTAGCCAGGCTCATCATGTCTTTAAAAGGGTCCACCTGGGCCCAGCACAGTGGCACACACCTATTATCCCAGCAGCTCAGGAGACCAAGGCAGAAAGGATTGCAAGTTCAAGGTCAGCGTCAGCAACTTAGGGAGGCCCAAAGCAACCTAGTGAGACTCTTGTCTCTAAGTAAAATATAAAAAGGGCTGGGGACGTGGCTCAGTGGTTAAGCTCCCCTGGGTTCAATCCCTGGTAGGTACCAAAAAAAGTGGGGGATTTTCTTGGCCCTTCTCATCCCCCATTTCTCTCAGCATATCTTTCCAATTTTTTCCAGCCTCCCAAACAGGAGGCCCAGATGGAAGGTATGTAGATGGGGTCAGCAAAATGTTTCCATTAAGTTGTCCGTCCTTCCTTCCTTCCTTCCTCCCTTCCTTCCTCCCTCCCTTAATCTCCATTTAAGTCAACCCATCTTGGCCAACTTCACTCTGAATTCTGAAATTTTGGGGGAAAACAGGTGACCGCTACGTAACAGAAACCTGTGGAATCCCACGTGGAAAGATTTTAAACCTTAGTAGTACAATATTCCATCCTAACAAAGAGCCCCAGTGTGGACTCTTCGGATGGCACGAGCTCTGGAATCCATGTGGTCCTCTCTTGGGTATAGCAGAGAGCAGGATGAAGTGACAGAGGAGGAGGAAAGTCCCCAAGGGATGGGCTCAGACACATTGGCTATAGTTGGAAAGCTATAACTGTAACTGCACAGTAAGGACTATCCTCCAAGTCCCCGGCTGGTAAAGAAAGTGCCTGCTTTGTGGGGAATCTCCTATCTCCCCTCTTTGAACTTTTTCTCTAAAACATTCTTTTCCCAAAGGAACAGGTGTCAGGTCCACACTCGATTTCCCCTCCCGTTGGATGGATGCCATCTAGTGGCAAAATGCTGTAAAGCTTCTTGCCAAGAGAGGGCAGCCACCAGCAAGCACAGGCGCCCATGGTTTGCAGGGCTTCCAAGAGCGCTGGACGCGGTTTCTCAGGCTTTCCAGAGGAAAAGCACCCACGTAGTGGGAGGAACGTACACTTCTCTCCTACCCGCTCAGGCAGGTAGATCCTTGGTTATATCTGGGGGTCTTCGGGATCTAACATGTAATCAAGAACCTGCGTATTTTGGATGCCACACAGAATATTCTTTCCCCCACCCCATTGCTTCCTCATCTCAGGCTTCTTACCGTTCTTGTATAGCTTTTTTACTTTTCCTGGAGTTTCTAATTTGCCATCCTCGTAGAATTTTTTTTTAATTCCCGAGGCTTAAGTAAATGGCAATAGATGCTCTGTAGGTTCTGAGATGCTCCGTACCTCTCCCCAATCCCATCCCAGAGAAGGGCACTGGGTTGGTGGGGGGGATGCTCAGCCTCCCCACATACCTGCACTGAGAGAGTTCCTGAAGGACCTTCAGCATCACTGCACCTGTCAGTGACACCTTCAAGGGGACATTAGTGATGGTGCTGAGGGTTCTGTCAGTATCTAAGGCTCCAGGATGGTGAATTCTGGCCAGCCTCCCCATTCTGCACAGCCTGCCAGTACCTCCCATCTCAGAGTCCCTGCACAAGGCAGCTGTCCTCTGCATTCTCTCTCTATATAGGGCTGGGTAAGAAGCAAGCCCATGGAGTCCTCAGAATGTCCTGTACTGTAATCTAATAATGAGGACCCTGCTCCATGCAAAAGGCAAGGTGTGGAAGACCCACCCAGACACCCATCCAAATGGACCCTGGACTTGAGTCAAAACCAGCACTCTCAGCTGCACCCAATGGCACACACTTGTCATCCCAGCCCCTCAGAAGGCTGAGACAGGAGGATCACAAGTTTGAGGACAACCTGGGGCACTTAGTCTCATAATAAAATTGTGAAAAGGCTGATAATGTAACTCAGTGGTGGAGTGCCTGCCTAGCATGCACCTGGATTCCAGCCACAACATCACAAAACAAACAAACAAAAAAAAATAGTGCTCCACAATAACCGGCAGAAGCAATCCAAGTGTCCATCAATGGAGAAACAGATTTTTTTTAAATGTGATATAATAAACTCAATGGAATATTATTTTGCTGAAAAAGTTTCTGACTCGGAAACTTCAGGGTTCATCACAACATGATGAACCCTGATGACATTACGCATTATACTACCTTGAAATAAGTTGCACACAAAAGGACAAATACTGTGTGACTCATCTCACTGAGGTCCCGAAAGTAGTCAAATTTATAAAGACAAGAAAGGAGAGTGGCCGGTTCAAAGGCCTGAGAAGCGGGGGAAGCAGGAGTCCTGGTGAGTGGGTGCCGCATTTCAGTTTTGCAAGAGTTCTGGAGGTGGATGGTGGTGGTAATTGCCCAATAGCGTGTGTGTATTCAATGCCACTGAATTGCACCCTCCAAATGGTCAAGATGGCAAATTTTATGTTATGTCTATTTCACTACAAATTTTTAAAATCAAGCACTGCCCTCCTGCACATCTCCATCCAGGGGAGGGCTGAAGGTCCAACCCTGTGTCCCAGTTCTGTGTTCATTTGAGTGTAGCCCTCTCCCGCCACCATGCTCACGTGGATGCAACACACTGGAGTGCACTCTGATTTCCCAGGGGACCTGAAGAGACTGTCAGGACACCAGATGGCAGGGCTGAGGAGTGGGGACCATGATAAAGAGGGGAGGAACTGGCCCCACGGCTCAGCCTGCAGCCGAGCACCTCATTCAGTCATGGACAGGGCCAGGCGGCAGCAGGCACTGACCCTCCTCCCCATCTGCCTGGCCTTCGCCCTCTCCCTCACCGCGGTGAGCAGCAGCTACTGGTGTGAAGGGGCACGGAAGGTCACGAAGCCGCTGTGCCTCGACCAGCTGCACGGGAAGAACTGCATTCACTTCAGACGGTCCAACAGCAGCTATGGCAGCAAGGACGAGAGCCAGGTGGTCCTGTACATTTGGGAAATAGGGGACGACAAATTCATCCAGCGCCGGCTCCACGTGGGGCTCTGGGAATCCTGCGAGGAGAACCTCAACAGCACAGGTGAGCTCCGTCAGCAGGGTCCCAGGGGCACAGGTGCAAGATGGTGGCCACAAGGGGGTGCTCTGGAGCCAGGTCACCTGGGTTTGCATCTTGGCTGTGCCACAGACTGTCCATGCTTTCTTAAACAATGTCCTCTGACCCTCGGGTTTCCCCATCTATAACATGGGAATGGTGGCAGTACTTATCTCGGTAGAGTTATTGTAAAGGTTAAATGACGAGATTCCCATATAGTACTTGCAACAGAGCCTGACACCTTGTTAAGTGATTATTGAACATTAGCTTTTACCCTTTGTCATTGGCACCCAATCCCTAGAGGATCAAAGGTGGACCCACCCATCCCTAAACTACATCCCTGATATTTCTCCTGTACTTTTAAGGGGTCTTGGAACAGAAGGTTCTCTCCACAAACAGACTTATACATCGAGATGCAATGGTGTGTGCCTATAACCCCAATGACTGGAGGCTGAGGCAGGAGGATCTCAACTTCAAGGCCAGCCTGAGCAATTGAGCGAGACTCTCAGCAACTTAGCTAGATGCTGTCTCAAAATAAAAAGCAAAAAGGACTGGGGATGTAGCTCAGGGGTAAAGTGACTGGGATTCAGTCCCGAGTACTATTAAAAAACAAAACAGACTTTTACAATCATGGGAGTATCTCCCACATCATCTACCAAAGCATGACCCTTAACAAATTAGACGCTTATCTCAGGTACTCCTTGAAATAACCCTGCAAGGCATTTATTATTCTTCAGCTCATAAACAAGGAAACCGAAACTTAGAGAATTTCAACTCGCACAGTTGTTAAGACTACTCCCTCGGCTATTAAGATTACTGCAGGGGCCTCCCAACTCCTCTCTTCATGGGTAGTGCTATCTTTCTATATGGCCATAAAGTTCTTAGCTCAGTGATCAATTCCCATGATGCTCAAATGATGGTAAAAGTCTGGGGCGGTTTTGGTTTTTTTGTTTGTTTGTTTATTTTTTAATTTTAGAGATTTAAAGGTTTGGGGTTTTTTTTTTTTTTTTTTTGGTACTGTGGATTGAACCCCCAGGGGCACCTTACCATAAAGGTCTTGTAGAAGGACAACACCACCTTTATGGTCAAATGCGGA